TGTAACTGTTTTAAATGCAGTCTTGGTGAGCGTAAGAGGCTTATTTTAAAAACAATCTTATCAACCCCAACCTTTTTAACAGTAGTGCACACAATCTGATTTATGAATGTTTATTTCCACCAGTGTTGCAAGATAAAAGCAAGCACAGCACATTTACTGGACTGCATGTAAAGTGTTGAACTAACAGATTTCTTTTAGATAAAATATTAATAGCATATAATTAATAATGCATGTTTAAATGATTCAGTAATATGGAAGAAGCAAAACTGTATTAGTTGTAAACATATATTATTGTTAGTATTTAAACACTATTAAATACTGTCAGGTTGGGATGCAATGAGCGACTGGAAGGACGTGTTGTCTGGAGGAGAGAAGCAGCTCATGGGCATGGCCAGGATGTTTTACCATAAGTACGTCTGTTCTGTTTGACTGACATTTTATTAAATATGACACACGATTTGAGGCAGACACATATATAATGGAAGTACCATTTTTTACACCATGCTTAATACTGGACTAACATCTATTTAAATCCAATGTAATGTAAGTTAATAATCAGGAGTATTACTGAGATATTTTCTCAGGAATGATCTTTCAGTTGCTTGAGATAATTGGTAGAATGACTTCCTCGGTCTAAAATAAAAAATAATACTTTGAAGATACTAAATTATGATACATGTAAGAAAGCTGCTCATGGTTTCCTTAAAGCCATTCAAGTGATAAATATTCAGTTACTGAACGTAATTAGTATTTAACCGGATTCAGTGGGTGTTTTTGTAAACTATACAGCTCACTTTGCATTTGAAGTGAGCAGCTGCTTTAGGGGAGATTATTGTAGAACCACTGAGATATTTATTAATGGGGAAGTAAAAAAAAAACAAGTCAGAATATGAAAAATGTAACAATTCAACTGTTTTAAAAGTCCCCAACAACTTGTGTGTTTAAAGGGTTAGTTCACCCAAAAATAAAAATTAGCCCATAAATTACTCGCCCTCAAGTCATCCTAGGTGTATATAACTTTCTTCTTTCAGACGAATCCAGTTTGAGTTTTTGATCTCTCAAGCTGTTTAATGCCACTCAGCGGATGTTGCATGCATCAGTCCAAAAGAAGTTAAATAAAAAGCACCCATCCATAAAAAAAGTGTCTCACACGGCTCTGAGGGGTGAACAAAGGCCACATGTAGTGAATCGATGTGTTTTTGTAAGAAAAATATGTAGTTTAATGTAGCTTGTGCCAACAGTTGTACACGGAAGCAGTTCCGGGCAGATGACGTATGAGTTCAGCGTTGCGCATGTGCCGGTGAGTCTCGTGAAAACCAATGTTTGTCTCCTCTGGGCGTACATCGAAATCCTCCGACATTCTTCTTTACAAATCCTCGTTTTGTACTTCTAATAAGTAACCGTTGTTTTGTTTTGATCTCTCCCCTGCGCTTCCTCGCTTGTCACTTCTGAGCGGCGCATGCGCAAAGCTGATGTCCTACGTCATCTGACCGGAACTGCTTCCGTGTACAACTGAGCGCAAGCTAGATTAAAGTGATTATTAAGTTTTGAATATGGATATTTTTCTTACAAAAATGCATCGATTCGCTACAGGAGGCCTTTGTTCACCCCCTGGAGCCGTGTGAGACACTTTTTTATGGATGGGTGCTTTTTATTTAACTTATTTTGGACTGATGCATGCAACACCCACTGAGTGGCATTAAACAGCTTAAAAGATCAAAGACAATTTTTTTATATATCTCCTGGATTCGTCGGAAAGAAGAAAGTCATATACACCTAGGATGACTTGAGGGTGAGTAATTTATGGGCTAATTTTCATTTTTGGGTGAACTAACCCTTTAAAGCTGATAAATCTCTGGTTTATCTCTAACAGGCCTCAATACGCACTCCTGGATGAGTGCACGAGTGCTGTGAGTATTGATGTGGAGGGCAAAATCTTTGAAGCTGCAAAGGATGCTGGGATTGCTCTTCTCTCTATTACACACCGTCCTTCTCTCTGGTGGGTTTTCAGTAATATGAAAATGAAGAGCAGTTCCTTTATTGCTAGTGGGAGTGTATTTATGTCCGTTCAGGAACTAAGCACTGAATCATAAACACATAAGATTAAAGGGTTCATATGATGGAAAACAGGATTTTTCTTGCTGTTTTGAAGTAGGAGTTTGATGTGCTATGTAGACATACTGTAATATTCACAACACTGAAAAAGCCAGACCACCCAGACTAGTTATCCAACAAAGCTGCAGTAATGGGTTGTTAAATGTGCTGAATACATCGCATAAAATCACAAATGGGTGCCCTGAGAGAAAACACCTGTGTCTGTGATCGCACTAGGCAAAATAAAAAGTCAAGGGAGCGGCCCACGCTTTTTTAGTCAATCAGAAAACTAGCCACGATGAATCATGTCATTCCTTTGGGTTATGGAGAAAGGGTGTGCGGAAGTTAGCAGGTGAATCGTTTAAGCATTTATGTTTATAATCGTTTAAGCATCATGACATTGCATCCATGAACACATTAACATAAGCCTGTTTAGATTTTTTTAATAAGAAAATAATACTTGCATTCAGCAAGGACACATTAAATTGATCAAATGACAGTAGAGATTTCTGTTTTGAAATAAAACTAAACTTCCTCTGCTGACAGGAAGTACCACTCCCACCTGCTGCAGTTTGATGGCAGGCATTTATGTTTATAATCGTTTAAGCATCATGACATTGCATCCATGAACACATTAACATAAGCCTGTTTAGATTTTTTTTATAAGAAAATAATACTTGCATTCAGCAAGGACACATTAAATTGATCAAATGACAGTAGAGATTTCTGTTTTGAAATAAAACTAAACTTCCTCTGCTGACAGGAAGTACCACTCCCACCTGCTGCAGTTTGATGGCGAGGGCGGCTGGTGCTTTGAAAAGCTGGACGCCTCCATGCGTATTTCCCTGCAGGACGAGAAGCTCCGACTCGAGACCCAGCTCTCGGGAATTCCCAAGATGCAGCAGCGGCTGGCAGAGCTGTGCCACATTCTGGGGGAGGACAGCAGTCTGCCGAACCCAGGGGAAGTGGAGGAAGATGACGGGATGGAGGGAGAGAGGGAGCACCAGAAGGAGGGGGAGGAGAAGGAGAGAGATGCAGTATCTGGTAGAAAAGAGAAAGACCTTATGGAGTGATATGCAGACAGATGACGGATGCATTCAAGGCCAGGTGTGAGCATATGTGTGTGTGTGTGTGTGTGCATACAGTATATCTGCCCACATATGTTTTAGATGCATGCATTAAATGTGTTTCTAATAGGGTTGGAAATCAAGAACTTAATCAGAACCAGTTCCATTTTTTAAAGAAATACCACAGCGGGAATCGTTTTAAGGATGTTTGGTTCTGTTACCGGTTTTAGAACGTTTACATTCCAGCAACGATTCAGAAGAAACACAGCAATAAGATATGCAAAACAGATGAACGTATCAGAGCCACCTTGAACCACCTTTGCTGTTGTCATGATGATCAACGTGCGTCTTATTTTTTGGTAGCTTGCGTGAGAATCAGCAATCAACGGTTGAGTGTGTAATTGTCGATTTCCATGATTTAAAAAGTCGAAAATCGGCTCTAATCTTTTCTTTTTCCACAGACTTTGATTACATTTAGGGTTGTGGGTCATTCAGAACTGAATTCAGAATGTTTTTAACCCTTGTGTTGCAAAATCCTTTACCTAATTTGGTGTTCCTGGTCAAAAAATGACTGGCTTTTTAAAATAATTGTTTATAAAAGTCTTGTTATGCTGTATTTTCACCAAATCTTGGATTAATTCTTTTTGTCAACTTGTTTTCTTTCAATCAGCACAGATTTTGTATATCTTTTTTCGAACTGATTGATCATAGGCCTTTTTGATCTAAGCGAATGCACCTCAGATTTTGAGTGAAAAAGCATTGTTTGTGGATAATTTGAGCAATATTCATTGTAAAAACTGAGGTGCAATCAATCAGCTCTAAAAAATGAAATAGAAAACCTGTGCTAATTGAATCAGAATCCAGTTCGAATTTGAATGCAAGAAAATTTCAATAAATAAATGTAGCTGTCATTTTACCTAGAAGTTGTCGAGAAAGTTTTGAAAAAAAATTAATTGAAAAAAACTTTACTTTTTGAGGTTTAAATGCCTTGCAGACAAATGATCCATTATCCATTCATTCTGCTTAAAAATTACTAAAAAAAAACTATTAACAGAACCATTAAGGAATCAAAATCAGATTCCCATCTTTAGTCTCCAGACAGAAAACGCACAAAGCTTTTGTTAGCTGTACAAAGACAATGCAGTTAGTGTGTGTGTTGTGTGTGCATGTTTATGTGGTTTATGAGGACACAAATTTGTATAATAACATGGGTATGACAGGTATTACAACGAGAAGGTGATTTATGAGGACATTTTCAGTGTCCCCGTAATTCAAAAGGCTTATAAATAATTCAGAATTAGTTTTTTTGAAAATCTAAAAATGCAGAAAGTCTCCTGTGAGGGGTAGGTTTAGGGGTAGGGTTGGTGTAGGGCAATAGAATATACGGTCTGTACAGTATAAAAACCATTATGCCTATGGAGAGTCCCCACAAGGATAGCAAACCAGACACGTGTGTGTGTGTGTGTGTGTGTGTGTGTGTGAGGGTGGTACTCAAGACTGGGTGTGTTTTGGAGGGGGTGGGAGACAGCTGCCAACTCCACCAGGTGCGGTCGATGATGAAAGCACCTATGAAAGCTGTTCCTCTTGCTCGTTATCGCTGTTCTCTGAAGAATTCTCTGGAAATCTGCGGGACCCAGGCGGCGTGTGTGTGTGTGTGTGTGTGTGTGTGTGTGTGTGTGTGCATGTGTCTTTAGGGAAAGGGTGACAGTCGAGATTGGGCTGTGCTGTTTTGTATCAGTTTATCAGTTTTATTTTCAAACTTCTAATGAGTCGCCATGAGTGCTGTAGTTCAAATCTGTCGAGTGAACTAGCAGACGTGAGTCCATCTCTGCCCGAAGGGTGTCGCTGTGGGTCTGTGTAAGATGTTACCGCATCGCTCCCTGCCTCAGTTTCATTCCCATGAGAAATGACTTTCAGCTTCAGTGTTACAGTGCGTCTGTCTGTCTGTCTGTCTGTCATCCACGTGTTGCGCTGCGCGTCTCGCGTCCTGTCTGTTGCTTCTCCGGGAAGTTTCGATGCTCCGGGAATAACAGCACAGAGCAGAGCCCTGACAGGAGCCGCGAGCGGACCGGACTTTTCCATGTTTGACACGCATTACCCGACACCAGACTGTGCTGAAGTGTTTGTGAGGCAGGTAGAGAGAAGGAACGCTTTTAACTGCGGAAGGTAAGAAGATGTACATATGGCTGTGACGTCACGGCGCTTGATGTTACATTTGTTGTTTGATGTTTGATGCGTTTGTGCACAGTTTAACAGATTAACCAACCGAAGAAAGCACAACTCAACAGACTGCAGGTCATTTAGGATGCGAGCTGTTATTCCTTATACACCTTACCTGCATTTGTAGCTTTTGCGCCGAGTTGACTTGTTACTTGACTATATATATATATGAAGAGCTCAGATGCAAAAGCCTCTAAGTGCCATCTGAAATTTTCTTCTAAAATTAGCATTTTTATCAGGCTCCTATATTTAGGTTCAGTAATTTTACATTAATGGCAATGTATAGGTCATTTTCCATGCCATTAAAGTGAAATAAATGAACATAAATATAGGAGATTTTTATAGTGAGGTTTTGCATCTGAACTCTTCACACACACACACACACACATATATATATATATATATATATATATATATTTTAGTCCGGATGACATGGCGTCCCAGTTTTCCAAAAAGAACTTCAAATTTTGATTCGTCTGACCACAGAACAGTTTTCCACTTTGCCACAGTCCATTTTAAATGAGCCTTGGCCCAGAGAAAATGCCTGCGCTTCTGGATCATGTTTAGATATGGCTTCTTTTTTGACCTATAGAGTTTTAGCCGGCAACGGCGAATGGCACGGTGGATTGTGTTCACCGACAATGTTTTCTGGAAGTATTCCTGAGCCCATGTTGTGATTTCCATTACAGTAGCATTCCTGTATGTGATGCAGTGCCGTCTAAGGGCCCGAAGATCACGGGCATCCAGTATGGTTTTCTGGCCTTGACCCTTACGCACAGAGATTGTTCCAGATTCTCTGAATCTTTGGATGATATTATGCACTGTAGATGATGATAACTTTAAACTCTTTGCAATTTTTCTCTGAGTAACTCCTTTCTGATATTGCTCCACTATTTTTCGCCGCAGCATTGGGGGAATTGGTGATCCTCTGCCCATCTTGACTTCTGAGAGACACTGCCACTCTGAGAGGCTCTTTTTATACCCAATTATGTTGCCAATTGACCTAATAAGTTGCAAATTGGTCCTCCAGCTGTTCCTTATATGTACATTTAACTTTTCTGGCCTCTTATTGCTACCTGTCCCAACTTTTTTGGAATGTGTAGCTCTCATGAAATCCAAAATGAGCCAATATTTGGCATGACATTTCAAAATGTCTCACTTTCAACATTTGATATGTTATCTATATTCTATTGTGAATAAAATATAAGTTTATGAGATTTGTAAATTATTCCATTCCTTTTTTACTCACAATTTGTACAGTGTCCCAACTTTTTTGGAATTGGGTTTGTAGATAGATAGATATAGAGAAAGACAATTTGATATAGACAGATAGACAGACAGATTAGATAGATAGATAGATAGATAGATAGATAGATAGATAGATAGATAGATAGATAGATAGATAGGTATATGATTTGAGAGATAGGTTCAGTAAAGAGATGATGGTGATGGTATCATAAGTATGATGGATAGGCAGATATTTTAATCCCACCGAGTGAACTAGCAGACGTGAGTCCATCTCTGCCCGAAGGGTGTCGCTGTGGGTCTGTGTTACCGCACCGCTCCCTGCCTCAGTTTCATTCCCATGAGAAATGACTTTCGGCTTCAGTGTTACAGTGCGTCTGTCTGTCTGTCTGTCATCCACGTGTTGCGCTGCGCGTCTCGCGTCCTGTCTGTTGCTTCTCCGGGAAGTTTCGATGCTCCGGGAATAACAGCACAGAGCAGAGCCCTGACAGGAGCCGCGAGCGGACCGGACTTTTCCATGTTTGACACGCATTACCCGACACCAGGATAGATAGATAGATAGATAGATAGGTATATGATTTGAGAGATAGGTTCAGTAAAGAGATGATGGTGATGGTATCATAAGTATGATGGATAGGCAGATATTTTAATCCCACCGAGTGAACTAGCAGACGTGAGTCCATCTCTGCCCGAAGGTGTCGCTGTGGGTTCTGTGTTACCGCAACCGCATAATTGCTCAAATTTAACTAAAAAATAATGGATATATATATATATATATATATATATATATAGGGTTTATCTTTAGGGTTAATTCACAGTAATTGGGACATTTTTTCCGAGTCATCACTACATCAAATGTGGCAAATGTGTCCCAATTTACCTGAATTCATCAGAAGATAGATAGATAGATATTCAAATTAATGTATTTCGATATACTTATTTAAAACAGGCTATTAAAATACACCTATGAGTAAATATTCTAGAAGTTCATTTTTGAATATAAAAATTTTTAAAGAAGACTGTCACATAGAGTTATGGTAAAGGGTCAAAGGTCATCACCCATAGTGGTTTAGATTGACATCACACCCTGAATGGTTAAAACTGCTGTCTGGAAACCACATCAGACGGTTTAAAATGACCACAGGACTGTCCAAGAACTGCATTACGTGTTCAAAACAATTAAAAGTGAGTTGCAATATAGAATTGTCTTTTCTATATCTATGTGCATATAAAAAATCTTGAATGCATATTAGTTTATGTCCATTATAAGTATAGCCTCTCAGATGAAGAGCTGTACTGAATATGCCATGCTCCATCGGCTGCTCTGTAAGGCTCCTTCATTTGGAATGGTTTGCATTCTTACATGGCCGGTGGCTCCAAGTGTTTTTTTTTAAGCTCTGGTTCATTCGTTCATGATAAAATGCCATTTCTCGTGGAAGTAATTAGGCAGCATCAAAGCCAAAGAGATCTTGTTATTTCAAAGCTCTGAATCAAGTTGAGCCAGACGTGAGCTTTGGCGTGTCAGCGTTTGACTCTCTCCACCTGTCAGAGCGTGGGCAGCAGATGTGTGTTACTGCAGTTAGGAAAGTTGAGTCCCCTTATAATGAAAGAGTCATTTAGTTCAGAGAGAATGCAGAAAATGGATCTGTCTGCATGGGAGATGTGTGCAGTTGTCACACTGATGTGCAGTCAGCTACCATACAGAACAAAACACATTTTTCCATATTTAGTGGGAAATTTATCAGTGCAGATCTCATGATGCTAGGAGGTTGTTGGTGGTTGCTAGGGGGTTGCTAGGTTCGTACACTTTAAAAATATATATTTTCAAAATTGTAAATAAAGTAAGTTTACAAGAAAATACTATTTCAGTCTTTTTACTTCAAAATTTCATGTTTTATTCAATGTGTTATTTGCCGATTCTTTGTAATTATTTGTGAAATTTACTAGTTTCTGAGTTTACTAGCAATATCTCTGTTGTTTCTACACCAGATTTATTTTTGTTGAAACTTATGTACCATGGCTTTTATTAGGGATGCACCGATATGAAAATTTTGGCCGATACCGATAACCAATTATTCTTTATTTTTGAAAGCCGATAACCGATATGTTGGCCGATAAATCTATGTCCAAATTGTTATATTTTTTTGAGAGCCTGATTACAAAAAAGGTCTCATCATTAAAAGCCACATCCCAAACACTAAGCAGCCTAGTTTGAACGGTGTACGTTTTAAAAATATTTTTACTCTCCCATTACCAAATTTAGTCATAAAAAAGTCTTACAAATAAATAAAATTATGCATAAATAATGCAAACAAGTCACTGGACATCATTACACGTGTAAAGAATCAAAATGAATGCGCCATAGATCAATAAAACGGAATAGCCTCTGCACGGACAATAATTAAATGATTTTAATTACTAAACCATATTGTTGATGAAAATAATAAGAGAAAAATACAAGTGGTTGTTGTTATTAATAATGTATCAATGATTTTGAAAAAGTAACAAATTAATACCACTGTTTTAAATAGCAGCCGTTGAGCTGCACGTGCTGAAGCTGAAGAGCTGAATGAACATGGTAAACTGAAGCGTTTTGCTGGCAGCTTATTTAACTCAAGGAAATGCATCCTGAGATTAATATTAATACCACATAAACATAATATTACAACTTATATATGTACAAAATGATGCAGTTATTGCGTGCTATAGTCAGAATGTGTGATCCTGTTGTGGATGCGCTCTTCCCATATCAACGCGCTGAAACACGGCAACTAAACCCATAGAATTCACAACGTTTTATTATAATAATGTTCTCATTAGAATGTTATATACACGACATTCCCAATCATAGTTATTAATGTTGTGCACTGCTGTTTGAGCTGCGTGCGCTGAGCTAAAGACGATCACCGGTAAACTGAAGCGCTCTTTTAACTTAACCAAACGCATTCTATATGAGATAAATCAGATATACATCAAATAAACACAATATTACAACGTACAATTGCACAAAAGGCTGCAAACGAACAGCGCGCATCTGAAGTGTCTCTGAAGGAAATAATGCATTATTTATCGGCTTTAAGATATCGGCCAAGTTTTCTTATCAGGCCGATACCGATAACAGAAAAAATGAGCATTTATCGCCCGATACCGATATGGTGGCCGATATATCGTGCATCCCTAGCTTTTATGGTATTTCATGCTACCTCCAAGATCACCATATTACTAGTGATGCACCATTTTTTAATTTTTTTTTTTTATACTGAAACTGAGATTTAAGTTTTCATTCAGCCAAAACCAAAACTAAAAATGTTCTAAAATTTCGGTGCTTCACTGTACGTTCACACTGTCAGTGTTTGGGATTGACAACCATGTTTATTTATAGGTTTGACTCAAAATGTCCTGTTCACACTGCAACTTACAAAAAAAAAGGCTTGCCAAGTCAAGGCTTGCCAAGGCTTACAGAAGTCAAGCCTGTATTCTATTTGTGACTATTACCTGTAACAATAGCAATAGTGACGAAAGTAAATATCAAAGATGGCGACGTCCAAAACTGCAAAATCTTTTCACATTTTACACAATGGAATTTCAATTGACGTGCGATTTCATCAGTCGAATCTTAATTAACCGACGGCAGCTCAGCGGAGTAAAGACCGGAGCATTTGAGTCGCATGCAGGCCACAAAACTGATTGATGACTGAATT